TTCCCTTAATAATAAAAACCTTCATTTAAAAACTGCATGTTGTGTTTACTTGTGTTATCTTTGACTAATATTTAAATTTGTTTGATGATCTGAAACATTAAAGTGTGACAAACATAGCAAAAAAATAAGAAATCAGGAAGGGGGCCTTTTCACACTTTTTCACACCACTGTATATACTGTATATATATATATATATATATGTATCAGCAACTCTACTACTACAGACTACAGTCCAAATTCAAATTGGACACTTTTCATTTCAACCTCAAATTTGTTTTCCGTTTTGAACTCTCTGCAAACCTTACTTTTTCAAAATCATCCACGGTTGTTGGTTTCATTTGTATTTAATTAAATGTCTCCAGGATCGTCAAAGGAAATGTGATTCATCCAATCATTTTGCACATTTGTGCTAATATTTTTTTTGGCCGTGACTGAATGTAATATCCAGATTTTGCCTAACTTGAAATGAAAGAAATTGCCACAAATTTTATGACCTCATGTGCCACCGCTGAGAAAACAGCAGTGTGATTTACTTTCAAATAGATCTGGTGCACATTTTATTCATTTTTCCCTTTGCTGAAACCCCAGTGTAAACTACTGTTCCTGCCAGTGCTGGTATTTGTGCTGATGCTTTTTGCATTCTGGTTGTATTGTCACATGATCTTCAGAAATCATTCTAATATTCTAATTTGCTGCTCAAGAAACATTTATTATTATTAGCAATGTTGGAAACAGTTGTGCTGCACAGTATTTTTGTGGAAACCATGATACATTTTATTTTTTTAGGATTTACAGATGAATAGAAAGTTCAAAAGAACAGCATTTATTTGAAATATAAATCTTTTTTAACATTATAAATGTTGTAAATGTCACTTTTGATCAATTTAATGCATCCTTGCTGAATAAAAGTATTGATTTCTTATAAACAAATTAAATCTTTCTGACCCCAGACTTTTGAACAGTAATATATCTCGCTGGCACTGAGGCATCAGTTCAGTATCAACATGACGTTTCTTAATTATTGTTGTTTCTTGAGCTTCTCAGGCTCGTTCAGGATGCGTCATGTACTCGTCATCAGTTTGACAAGCACGGCGTCTGTCTCTCGCACGTAAATGTGAATGTAATGGATACATGTAACGCGTCAGAGAGCAGCCGCAGCTCTTTTATTCTCATCCGTCTCTCTCTCTCTGCTTTCAGGACGGACAGTCAAGGACCGTCAGGCAGTTCCAGTTCACAGACTGGCCAGAACAAGGCGTGCCAAAATCAGGGGAAGGCTTCATCGACTTCATCGGCCAAGTGCATAAAACAAAAGAGCAGTTTGGTCAGGACGGACCCATTTCGGTCCACTGTAGGTAAGAAAGACACGAGTCTTGTTGAGAAAAACAGAGCCGAGCAGATGCCACTGTTCATGGGTAAAACACTTGCCTTTTGTTCTGTGAACTAAATCTTATCCAATAGCAAATACTTCAGCATGAAAGCTGATTTAAACACATCACATGTCTTTATCCCTCCCAGGAAGTTGTGTTTGTCACCTCAGAAGTGTATGTGTGTGTGTGTGTGTATATATATATATATATACACACACACACACACACACTGTTCACCACATAATTTTACAAATTACGTTACTTGAAATTGTTACACCAACAGGATGTGACATCATTTGATCATTTGTTCAGACAGGAAGACAAATACATGATTTGATTCCCTTTTTCTACAGTTTTACACAAAATAGCGTTTACTGTATTTATTAAGCTTAACCAATCAACACTATTACTTAAGATATAATTAATGCTCAAACAATTATTGATAACACTGTAATATAAGTTTATTGCTAACTTTCCTTGTTTGTTAACATAAGTTAATGAATTAGCTAGCACTAAAAATAAGCAATATATTCCTACAGCAGTTATTATTTGTTTTGTAAATATTAGCTAATAGGGTAAATTAGGGTAAAAATTGTATCTAATAGATATCACCGTACTTTTTCAGTTGATTAATCACAGTACAACTGTTTTTGTTACAAGTTTTCTATAATGTTATGTTTAAAGATAAACAATGCATTTTCTAGTTAAATATGAACTAATTTGCATACATAAACAATGCGGGGGAAGTCGTGGCCTAATGGTTAGAGAGTCGGACTCGTAACCCAAAGGTTGTGGGTTCGAGTCTCGTACCGGCAGGGATTGTAGGTGGGGGGATTTTGAACTTCTGTTGTTATCTCTCCATAAATCTGAAAACACTAAAAACAGCCAGAAAATATACATTAAGCCATGTTTTTAGGAATAAAATATTGTATAAATACATGTGAACGATATATGAACAAACCCCTCAGTAAAATCCTTCAGAATATAGAGAGGAATTAAACTGTAAGTTTTGGTGTATGTAAATGCTGCTGAAGTGGAGAAAAAACTCGTAGCCTTTAAAAATATGCAGTTTCACAATGTTTTTTAGGAATAAAATATTGTATAAATAAATGTGAACAATATATGAACAAACCCCTCAGTAAAATCCTTCAGAATATAGAGAGGAATTAAACTGTAGATTTTGGTGTATGTAAATGCTGCTGAAGTGGAGAAAAAACTCTTTAAAGAGATAGATTGGAACTTAAATCTAAAGGCGCAATCAAATAAAGTTTAATAAAATAAACACTTAAATGTATATTTTCAATGTTTTCCATCCACTAATACTGCAACCCTGGACGGAAATAACCCAGCATCTTAAAATTGAACAGTGCATGAAAAACAAATGCTTGCAGTGTCTGGCCTCAAATTAAATTAGCAAAACTATTATAAATAGGTCGCTTCACATCCTGGTTAGACTCAGTCAACTTTGTTCACATGTTATGGTTTGGAATATCAGAGCTCCAGCTGACTAGTTGTGTTGTGATTGATCCGCAGTGCTGGCGTGGGCAGGACAGGTGTCTTCATCACGCTCAGCATCGTTCTGGAGCGCATGCGCTATGAAGGAGTGGTGGACATCTTCCAGACAGTCAAGATGTTGAGAACACAGCGGCCGGCGATGGTCCAGACTGAAGTACGTAACCGTTCTAACTTCTTCACTTCAGTCAGGATGTAAAACACATATTAAAACAGCACATTACAGCTAATAACATCCAGGTCAGGTTAGTGATTGGACCTTCAGACGTCTATGATTTTAGTCTGAAGTTTCCCAATGAAGAGTTTGCGATGGAACGAACGGATGCTCGGCTTTGTTCGGCCCGCAAACGCTCGTTCTCATTTATAACGACAAACCCTTCAGGTTAGCCATGCAAATTGGTTTAGATAAGCAATTTCACAGCTAACCCGCAAAATGGCCTTTCCCAGCATCAATGGGAGAAATTATTTTCTGCGATCAATGCGGACAGCGAGGTGATGAGGCTCGAATCTCACGCTCGGCGCAACACAATCCCTGCTTTTCACCTCGCAGACACGTGACAGAAAAGCGCGGCATTAGAGCCGTGCAACCCTTAGCGTCGCAGGCCGCCGGGTTGATGTGTTGCTATGGAGACAAGAGGATCCGTGCATCCGTGAATTCACAGAAAAATCCATAAAGCTGTTCAGAAGATGTCACGTTACATCGCGCATGTGCTTTACTGAAAGATTGTGTTCCAAACATCATAGAAAACTAGATTGCCATCATGAATTCATCATGTCATTTCTGAACTGATGTTCCTGCTCTTATTGTGAGTGATTCATCAATGCATGTTATTCCACATTGCCTTCAAGATTTTGCATTGAAATGCAATAGTAGTAGTATTAATAATAATAATAATTTTGAATTTTGTCTTATTGTCTATTTTTTTTACTTTAGTTAAAAATGCATTATTTATAAATGCTTAAGTTGTATCATCTGGTTATGCATCAGCACTGTTACCATTATATGTATACCATAATCAATTATGTGCTATAACAGAGAGAAAAAAAAAAGAAAAAACAGAACACAATCATTATTTTAAGATGTAAATTCTTCAATGACAAGCACATCTTTTTCTCCTTGTGAAAAGAAGCACTCTTTACCACATTCTTTTAAGTTTTATAATTAATAAAAAGTTATTTATAATAATAATAATAATAATAATATACTTTAAGTGTGAATTGTGTGTAATGTTTTCAGACACGTACTTGCATGTTTATTCTAATTAAATGTAAATGTATTGTAGTTTTAATTATATTAAATGCATTTAGTTGAACTTTAGAGTGTTTTGACCCACTACAGTAGGTCTTAAGTACATCTTTACATGTAATTTCATAATTACTTTTTTGTCTTTAAAATATAGTTAGAGTACTGCTGAATGTGAATGTGATGACTGGAACTAAAATACACTTTAATGTAATTTCTATTGAAACTTTTTTGTCATGTATTTAAACATATTTCTAATTACAGATTTGTAATGATTAAGTTGCAATTTAGAGCATTTAAAATATATTACATTTAAATTAATATTGAAAAACACACTACAGTTAAAATGATAATCAAGTTCTTTGCATGTGCTTTAGTATGTTAGTCAACACATCAAAATAAGTGTACTTTTTAAAAGATGACAATAGATGATTGAAACACACTGATTTAGAATGTACTTTAAAGAAAAACTTTCAATTTGACATTATTACAAAGGTCACATTTTAAACGTGTTCATAAATATGTTTAGAAACAGTCATGAAAGTGTCTCTCTTCAACTCACTTAAGTGCCATTTTATTTTATTTAATTCATATTATATTATCTGCAAGTACGTTTTTAAATATACTTTTAAAATTTGGAGTACGCTTCTTTTTCCACAAGGGTTTCTTAAGGTCATACACTTGTCAGTAAGAGAAGATCTTCAAATGTCAACCCTGTTACCATGATTTTGTATATTAAACGGTTCATAGTTAAAAAGGTAACATGTAGAAAGGTTATATCAGCATTGAATTGTCTTTCTAAGGAAACCTTGCAGTTACAAAACTGTCCTGGCTGTTACCGTCAACCCTGTTACCTTTCTGAATTTCGTCCAAAATACATTACATCTCAATTCAAACATCTAGATGAGTAGTTGTGCAGGTTTAAGATAAATGAACACACACATCTGATCCGACTGAATGTTTGGCACAGATCTGACCCGTCTCTCTGTCTCTGTCTCTCAGGATCAGTACCAGTTTTGTTACAGAGCTGGGTTGGAGTATCTCGGGAGCTTCGACCACTATGCAACATAAGATCTTCGTCCCGCTGTCAGGGAGACGGATCGGCCATCGGACATCCAGCGGTCATTTAATTCTTCTGAGCCATAAATACCTGCTTGTGAAAAGAACTTAAACTCTTCGATTACATGTTGGATGTGCAACGTAAACCTAGAAATACTTACAAACGACAGTAAAAAGACAAATATCCAGGTGGACCAAGAAAAATCACCCCGATCTGATTTCAAAAAGTAAATCATGAATAAATAAATAGTAATAATAATAATAATAATAATTTCAGACAGGTGAATCTAGACTGCTGAAGTGCGGAATAATCGCTGCTTCGAGGATTCATGAATCATAAAGGAGTCAACGAACACAGACGCTGTGAGACGGGGAGCTCGAGACAAGGTGTAAAGAGAATTTGTTTTGTTCCACAATCAATACGAGGAGATACGTCACTGATGAAGAGAGGAGACTTCATCACGACCACCACCATCATCATCATCGAAGAAGACTAAACGAACAGAGCTGAAGTAATAACTACAACACGTCGATCGTTCGGTTAGACATCCGGAGAAACCACACAAATAATGCATACCAGCTTTTGTTTCACGTTCCGTGGTGTTTTCCTCTCTTATATGACAGAAATCAGCGTAGACTGACCGTATTTCTCATGTTTTTTTTCTGATGTCCTGATGTTCGCACCCATGTGCCCTCCTTCATTCATCGTTTTGCTGATGGTTTGTGGCGTTTTGTTTGAAACACACACGCTGAATCATGGGGTGGGCAGAGTATAAAGGTTAGAAGATATCTCAGTTCTTCCATGAGCAGAGAGAGACAGATATTAGTAAAGTCTTTATTTATATAACCTTGAAATGTATATTCACAAAATATAGATATATAGATGATATAATATAAGGGAATGATGGTGGGTTTTCCGCTGGAATGCACATCAGCAGGACGGATGGACAGACACGCATCTTGTGCAATAACTAGACATTTTACGGCCGGAGGGTTCGATTCGCGTCGGTTTAACGAGGAAGGGGCGATCATCATCATGTTCACGAGCTCATGGGTCAAAGGTCATCGTCGTGCATCCGTTAGGCAACAGGTACGAAGACGTCCACGTGTTCATTCTTTTGCATTTAGAGTGCCTTATATTTATGTCTGTTCTTTTCTACGATATTCATTTAACGACGTGTATAGTTTAAGTAGTTAATGTACGAGTATTTATCGATTGATTTCCCACCAGATTTATAGTCTATGAAATTATATATGCAAATACGTAATTCCATCATTACTGTTTAATTTTCTGTGGCCTTAATTTGGCTCAGAGAAAATAAAAACGACAAGGGTACGACAAAGAAAGAAAGCGCACAATAACCGTCGGGCCCGATACTGATAAGTCATTTCTGTTATGTTATATTAGTTCCCCAACGGCACCTTTTTAAGTTTTTCAAAAACGGTCTTTTTAAGACCAAGTGTTAGCTTTAAATTTCCCGTAATTTTCAGTCATCGGTGGCGGAAAATGGAGGCAAAGAAACGCCAGAATAAATGAAAGACCCTGAAAACCTGCAAAGCTCTTGCTGATAAGCTACTAAGTATTTTAACGTGCGAATTTCACGATTAGAATATTACGATTCGAAACTTGAACCTCACTGGCTTTGTAGATGTGCATTCCAGATGCTTTTTTTTCCCCTTTCTTATTTCAAATAGAGAAAGCGTTTTATTGTTTTGACTATTTCTGTTGTTGATTTTGGATGTTTTCATCCAGTGTTGATGTTCATCATCATATGTCGAGCAACAGGCAGCCGTTGCGTAACTGTCAGCGCCACCTAGTGTTCAGCGCTTCAATGTGCTCCACGTCGGCTTTTCTTTCCCTGTTCTGGATCTTATTTGATATGCATGAGTTCAACTGCAGTGGGGGCGAGTAGGAAGAATTGCACTTTGTATCTCTTTATCTCTATGCACTGCCCTACTGATTCCGCACCCATTACGGATTTTACTTGAACCCGACTGTACGAATCTCCTTCAGACTTCACTTGGTGTGTATGTAAATAACACAGAAAAGAGACTACCCAAGTAATAAGAGAGAGAGAAAAAAAAAATAAGAGAAAGGAAAAGCAAATCGGTTGCTGAAAAAAAGAGCATCTTTAGCAGGTGATTTCGAAGCGTCTCTTCTTCCCCCGTTGAAAGACTGAAGCGTCACGAGCGCAAACGTACACGTGGTGTTTCTAAGCTCCCTGTTACTCTCACATCTGGATGCATAGACTGAAATTAATTCAATTCAATTGTAAAGAAAAAATGGCTTGTTAAAAAAAAGAATCATGAAATTACCTCTGATTAGATGTAAATGTAAACTGTTTTTGATTTGATTTGATTTGATTTTTTTTTTCTTTCTGAATGAATGCAGTGCTTTTTATTTTCATACTTAGATGACATTGGTGAAAAGACACATCTGTACGAGAAGTCGTCCTTCTGTACTTTGCTGACACAAGTTCCATTTGTTATAAATGAATTCTATTAAAAAAATGTAAGTGTTATGCACACGAGTTTCCTTCCTTCGCTCCTGTGAGCCGACGACCATCAACAGGAATGAATCTTTCCAATACTTCAGCTCTGTTATGGAAAAACATCACAGTGGTTTTTATTGTTGTATTTACTTATTTTTAATTAATTGATTTATATGCTGATTTTTTTTCCCTAGTACAACAAATATTGCCTGTAAGTAATGTGGTGTGGTGTGATTATATGTGTTAGTTAAAGCTATTATTTGACATTTTTGCACTGACCTTAAACCCTTTTACATTTTGAATGTAACAGAGTTGACTCAAAGCATTTCTGAAAGAGAAAAGTCATGGATTTTATTTATTTATGGTACTGTACATAGCACAAAAATAATGACAGTAAGTAAGTTAGTGTGGTGTGGTTATATTTGCTAGTTAAGACTTGGGTGATATTTTTGCACTGACCTTCAACCCCGTAACATATTAAATTTAAAAAGTTTGACATTTTAAGAGACAAGTCATGGATTGATTTAAATGTAAACTGTTTTTGATTTGATTTGATTTGATTTTTTTTTTCTTTCTGAATGAATGCAGTGCTTTTTATTTTCATACTTAGATGACATTGGTGAAAAGACACATCTGTACGAGAAGTCGTCCTTCTGTACTTTGCTGACACAAGTTCCATTTGTTATAAATGAATTCTATTAAAAAAATGTAAGTGTTATGCACACGAGTTTCCTTCCTTCGCTCCTGTGAGCCGACGACCATCAACAGGAATGAATCTTTCCAATACTTCAGCTCTGTTATGGAAAAACATCACAGTGGTTTTTATTGTTGTATTTACTTATTTTTAATTAATTGATTTATATGCTGATTTTTTTTCCCTAGTACAACAAATATTGCCTGTAAGTAATGTGGTGTGGTGTGATTATATGTGTTAGTTAAAGCTATTATTTGACATTTTTGCACTGACCTTAAACCCTTTTACATTTTGAATGTAACAGAGTTGACTCAAAGCATTTCTGAAAGAGAAAAGTCATGGATTTTATTTATTTATAGTACTGTACATAGCACAAAAATAATGACAGTAAGTAAGTTAGTGTGGTGTGGTTATATTTGCTAGTTAAGACTTGGGTGATATTTTTGCACTGACCTTCAACCCCGTAACACATTAAATTTAAAAAGTTTGACATTTTAAAAGAGACAAGTCATGGATTGATTGATCTATTGATTGATTATTTTTTTCAGCTTTAGGATTAGTAATGTAAACCAAAAAAAGGGGCCCTACTCGGCTGTATTTAGGGTTCAGGGTTCATACAAACAGCACACCATGTTATTTTACAAAGGAAAGGTCACAAAACTCTTGACATTTTTTTTTCTCTTCATATCTACATTAGCGTTCTGTCAGGTTATTCAAGTATTAAGCATGTCAAGATGAAACGATCTCAGAATGTCTATTTTTTAGTTGATTTATTGATTGCATTCCTATTCTGCTGTATGATTTTTTTTTTTAATATTTCATTCATTTTCATATTTTTAACCATCTTCAGGATGTTGCACTGCAATAGTAGAGCACATTTACTTTTGTGAAGCCGAATGTAAATCGAATAGAAACCCAGTGAATCAAGCCACGTTAAGTGAGTGTAAATGCCCTCCATGAGCGTCCTGTCCAATCCTGCAGAGATTTCTGATGTTTTATGTCACACGAGAGAGAAACAAAACACAGTGAGAATGATCTGATGAAAGACAGGCGATTATGAGAGCAAATGGAGATTTGAGAGAGAAAGCGGGGCAGCAGTAACTGGAATGAAGGTTAATGATTCACATGTGCTCAGATCCCACAATGCCTCTGTTCTGTGTTCAAAACTCTCCTGCTCTCCTTCAGGTTGTCTAGCAGAAAGAAATCTGCAGTTACGTCACATCTAATGCATTCCAGAGGGCATAATGTGGGAAGTTTGTATTTTGTATGAATTATTCAGTAAAATGCCATTTATCATTTGCAGCACTGTAAAGTGTCTAAATGGGTGAGGAGGTGGCTGAAGGTCTGCTAATGTGTTCCTGATGCGACTGCAGTGAGTTCACTGCATGTAAACAGACGTAATCTTTTCACAAATCCTTATATTTAGCTTTTGAAGGTTACCATGTTTTCTGGAGTTGCGCTGTCATGACAACAAGCTGAAAGTTGGATCTAAAGTGGCAGATAAGGTAAGCAATGCAAGTTAAAATGTGAATGTTGAAGTCTAACGTTTAGCATTTGTCTGCTGCACGTCTGATGTTTGCTTTGATTTTTAAATAATTGCGACTTTTTCAGAATTTCAAAAATGCCACAATTTCTGGGAATCGCTGAATATATATATATATATATATATTAAACATGGGGACTGCACTTTTTAAACACTGTCTGTTCACTTTAGATCAGTGGTTCTCAAACTTTTTTGGTCACGCCCCTCTTTAAACCTATAAAAAAAAAATCTGCCCCTCTTTCCCGAATCCCCATTCCACCTCAGACTACCAAATAATTTCACTAAACATTATGAAAAATTAATGCTTT